TAACTTAAGGCAATAGTTCAAGAGAGGCATGTCAGACCTGGAGACATGATCTTATTCCTAATTTATTAAGAAGCAACAGAAGAGAGAGACTCACTGTGATGGCTGCTCATGACAGCTGATGATAAGTGGCTGATGTAAAGCACCCCCCCCCTCCTCCTCCTCCTCCCCCTCCTCCTCCCCTGTGTCCACAGCCACACCCCAGCTCTTGACCCCCTGTGACCCCTCCAGCGATCCAATTCCATTTCCTGCTGCCAGCTGCCCTGAATGATTACTCTGACTGACTCCATTCATGGAGGAGTGTGTGTGTGTGTGTGTGTGTGTGTGTGTGTGTGTGTGTGTGTGTGTGTGCCAGCTGAGAGAGTGTGTTTTTGCAAGAAGTGCACATTTTCTGCACGAGCCTGAGTGATTCATGGTGTTCGTGTGTGTGTGTGTGTGTGTGTGTGTGTGTGTGTGTGTGTGTGTGTGTGTGTGTGTGTGTGTGTGTGTGTGTGTGTGTGTGTGTGTGTGTTTGTGTGTGTGTGTGTGTATGTGTGTGTGGTGTGTGTGTGTGTGTGTGTGGTGTGTGTGTGTGTGTGTGTGTGTGTCCTGTGTGTGTCTGTGTGTTGTTGTGTGTGTGTCTGTGTGTGTGGTGTTGTGTGTTGTGTGTGTGTGTGTGTGTGTGTGTGTAGTGTGTGTTGTGTTGTGTGTGTGTGTGTGTGTGTGTGTGTGTGTGTGTGTGTGTGTGTGTGTCTGTGTGTGTGTGTGTCAGTGTGTGTGTGTGTGGTGTGTGGTGTGTGTGTGTGTGTGTGTGTGTGTGTGTGTGAGTTTATTACAGGTTTGATTTTGTGTCTAGCTGAGTCCCCTGGCAAAACAAACAAACAGACACCAATTAAAGCTGCTGCAGTGTCCCGGCCCCTTTACATCACTAACGAGGCGCCGCTGTAACCGCTCTCATCCACACCTCAGCTGTTCCCTCAGTCAGACACGAGCCCTGAACTCACCGTCACTCACCAACAGTCAAAGAGACCACACTGTTGTTTCACATGAGAGATGTCTGTGTGTGTGTGTGTGTTGGTGTTTGTCAATCTATTTTCAGACAGGTCTGAAGCATCAGGAGAAAGGAGATTATGTCAGGGTTAACCACCGACCAATCAGAATTTAATCACAGAAAAAAATAGAGACAGAATCTGATAGAGTCGTTGGATTGTTCTCTGATGTTGCCACGGTGATGCCACTGTCAATAAAGCCTGATCAGACCCACACACTCCCACTGGTTGCCAGAGCTCTCCAACTTATTCCAGTAAGTGGAGATTTACACATCACTAAATTAAAATGAACACATGAACCTCCATGTTTGACCCCATCTGTACAAACCTGATCATGGCCCTCGACACCCGGACACCAACAATACTCAATAATCAATAATCACTGAAGTCTTTTTTAAAGCTCCTCCAGTGTAAAGGTCTGTGTCCATGTGTAGTGTGATTATAGATCAGCTCTAGCTTCTATATTAATACTGTGAAAGTATCAAAGCCTCAGTCCACAGAGAAATGCACACAGCCTGTATTCAGAAACTGAGCCTTAAAACCAGCCGTCAGGACTTCTGGAACTTTGTGATGTCACAACAAAGCAGTCACCAAGCCCCGCCCACCTGGACCCACCATCCAAACCTTTACAGGATTTGGTTTCTCTGAGTGTTTTTACCTGAAATCTGCTTTATTTTTATTGGATCACTCAGAAAACAGTCAGCCAATCAGAAGAGAGGCTCAGAGCCTCCTCTCTTCTGATTGGCTCACCGACCTGTTGTTACTAGAGCTGCAGAGAGAAGCCTGAGAGAGGAGATGTAAAACTACACTGAGATGGTTTTTATATCTTCTGATGGATCAACACTTCAAATAAAACACAGAAGAAGAAGAAAATCTAAAGTTCATCTTCATAAATGTGAATATTTGATGATTTCTCTTCGTCATCTCTGATCAATTCATTTCTAAACCAACAGGAACTAATTGGAAAATGAGCTGATGGTAAAAAACTGAAAACTAATTAAAACTTAATTAAACAACTAAATTCTTGGCCTTGGAAACAGCAGTGGATAATAATCATCAAGCTCAGGTTAAATGAACTGTTACATTTCCACTAAACGGATCTTGTGGTAAGATTGTTTTTTCCAAATTAACAGGAAGAAAAATCACCTTAAATCAACTTCATGCTCATTATTTTATTTCCAGGGTCGTTGTATTGGCTGTAATTCCCACATTCATCATGATGTGATGTCAGAGTTCTCGACAAATCTCCGACACTCCAGCAGAACATGTCAAGTACTGACGTCCATCAGAAACAGTTTCTGTCTAGACTCAATCATTAAAAACATCGACAGGAGGAATGATGCCGAGGCTGACGTCCACTCAGACACCACTACAGTCCACTACAGTCCACTACAGTCTACTACAGTCCACTACAGTCCTCTACAGTCCACTACAGACCACTACAGTCCGCTACAGTCCACTACAGTCCACTACAGTCCACTACAGTCCTCTACAGTCCACTACAGTCCTCTACAGTCCACTACAGTCCTCTACAGTCCACTACAGTCCACTACAGTCCACTACAGTCCGCTACAGTCCACTACAGTCCTCTACAACTTCATATTTCATGAGTCGATTTCAGCTGCTTCCACCTGTTTAATGACATCAAGGAGGTGAGAGAGAGTGGAGGTCGTGTGGAGGTCGTGTGGAGGTCGTGTGGAGGTCGTGTGGATGATGATGTCATCCTGCTCGCTGTATGATCACTTCCTGTCGTGTGTGCAGGTGAGCAGGAGGAGACAGGATTGTTGTGTCGGAGCAGCTGATCCATTACCTCCTCCAAACATTTCCCTCCATCACTGCAGCTGGACCGTCGGAGGCAGCTGTTAAAAATGTTTGGTTTTTTTCCTCCCACAAGCAATTAGGTAACAGCAATTACCTGGAGAGCTTCCCTCCTGGGGTGTGTTGGTTCTTTCTGTCTCTGTTTGCTTTTGAACATCTGCAGCCCCCCCCCCCGAGTGTATTTGGTGTAAACTGAGCTTTTCCCTGACGTCGGTGCTCAACCACAAAATCTAATTACACCTCCTGTGGTATCAGTGTTTGTGTTTCATCAAGTCGGAGCGTCACTTCTTCAACACGGGTCCATGCAGGTGTAAAACCAGATGTGCAGCTTCGTTAGCTTCATCCACTGAAGCTCTGTGTCTGAAAAACACTGAAGGCTGCAACAATGGCACCACTCCTGGTTCAGGTTTGACCTCCGACCTACTGCAGGTGAGCAGCGGCAGGTAAACACGAGTTCACTGAGAGCAGCGTGACGACAAGCTGTGGTGAAGTGTCAGAGATCATCATAAGGCAAACCACCAGCCAGCAACGTAAACAACATATAGAGTTCAGGACAACACGTTTCATGTTTCAACCTGACTGTAAAAAGCACCTTTTCTAATATTTCTGAGCAGCTCATTGTCACGTGAACTTAAAGCTCCACCACCAGTCTGAGTCCACAGGGACAGATGAAGGAGGAAACCCACAGTCCTTAAATACAAGCATCAGCTGAAGTTAAAACGAGGCTCCTGAAATCTGTTATAAAAATCAAGTGGGTGTCTTCCAGAGTTTTAGACTTTTAGTTTGAAATTCCCCTGGACAGGAAGTGTTTCCTGAGGTGGACGGAGAGTAAGACAAAGAGGGAAGTTTGTACAACAGAGACTTTTACTTTGGAAGATTTCAGACTGATTTGATTGAGTTCAACTTCAGCAGCAAAGACGTCGACACAAGACCAAATGTTCTTTTAGGAACTCGCTGCAAGAGGAAGAATTATATCTGTTAGCATCATGAGAAACAGCTCTTCAGCAAATGACAAAGGGTTGGTAAAGCCTGGAACCGCAATATATATATAACTTACAAAATCAACAATAACAAAAAAAGCTCAAGCAGAGGAAGTTGAGTAATTATACGTGATAGAAACATCAGACGGATCAAATTTGAGAAGATAAACGTGAATCTGTAGCAGGTCGACTTCTAACATGAAATATCAAAGCCTTTCATTTATTAAATACATTTTTTGTATATCTAAAAACGTACATGGGTGTATGTTTTTATTTATGTAGGTGCATGTGTGTAGATATATATATATATATATATATATATACACACATACACACACACATATATAGGGAAGGGTGAGGGAAAAAAAAGTTTAAGAAAGTTAAAAGTTATAAGGTCAAAAAGTTTGTGTGAAAATGTCTAAATAACAGCAAATATATAATGTTTCATTGACATTAAGTGACATTATAAATTATATTTTAAAAAGAAGCAAACAGCAGGATCTGCTGCAGAAGATAAAATAATGACCAGAGTTGTAAAGTCCTGTCTCAGATTATGATGAAACTCTGTGTCTATGAGCAACAAGCCCCCCCCACCCCCAAACACACACACACACACACACACACACACACACACACTCAGTTTAAAGTTTACTGGAAACGCCACGCACTATAAACTTTTGTGTGTCACATGACCTCCGTCAGATTTTTGTCAGTTTGACACAAAATTTTCAGTGAAATTTCACTAAGATTTGAGTTTTAGATTTAAGTTTTAGATTTAAGTAGAATGAACTTAAAAAAATCATGTCAGCCTCACAAGGGATGAGTGTTTGTCCAGTGAACACAACGTTTTTATGTCACGTGGACAGTCTTGAACATTTGTGTCCACTCAACATAAACTTTATGTCATGGATGCATTGTGGGTAATCTCTGTTGTTTTAAAGCAGGTCTGAACTTCACTCACACAGGAAACAGCTTTGTCCCTGATCACTGACACTCAGGAGGAACCATGAACATATGAGACTTTTAAAAAGTGAACTTGTCCTTTAAAGAGAAACTTCTTCAGCTGTTAGACATTAAAAGGCGGTAAACCCCCGCCCCGCCCCCCGTCAGGAGGACAGCACTGGGAGGATTTTCAAAGCGCTTGTCTGAGTCTTTCCCGCTCCTCCTGTCCATGAATTCAGCTGAGCACCTCTAAATCCTCATCAGCCGCTGACACGTGTGAGCAGGATTCCCGCGTCGGGCTGGATCCCGCTCTCAGGCTGATGGAGCCGTACAACTTGGCTGCGTGTTTGGAATAAGCAAACGCCCTCCTCCTCATCATCTCCCCCTTCCACATGGAGATCATGAGCAGGGTGGAGAGCAGCACGCCCCCCAGGGTGAGCAGGCACAGTCCCGCGATCACACACCGGTCCAGGTGGGCCCCGACTCTGGCTTTCTCCCGCTCCAGCCGCTCCATCTCCCGCGCAGACACGCTGTCCGGGTTCACGCGCACGTCCCTGGGGACCGTGTAGGATATGGCGACCAGAGAGATGCCGGTCACCAGGCAAGTGACTGCGATGATGAAGCCGTAGTCCACCGACTTCCCCGGGCCGTCAGAGGAGAGGTCGTCGTCGGACAGCAAGTAAAGTTCCGGGATGTCCTCCTCCCCCTCCTCCTCCCCCTCCTCCTCCATCACCTCCTCCTCCTCCTCCTCCTCCCACAGTTCACTTGAGGAGCTCCGGATCAGTGTGCAGGTCTGCGGACTGGTCCCTATCAGCCGGACATCATCATCTTCATTATCATCATCATCATCATCACCTTCATCACCTCGGTGGCTGCAGGTGAAGGAGGTTTCTGTTTCCTGCTCCGGCCGCGCGCCCCCTCTCCGGGTCTCTGTCCATGGTGCTGAACCCTCTCTTCCCCCGGGGTGAGGTGACTTCCCTCCGCCGCGGATCTCCGCCACACTCTGCTTATTCCCGCCCGGGGAGGAGCCTCTGGGATCGGGCTGATCAAAGTAAATCAGTTCCAGATCAGCCATCTGAACACGGGCTGGGTTCCTCCGGTTTGTCAGGCCCATGCGTCCGCGTCTGTCAGAGAAACAACCCGCTGAGAGGCTCCAACTCCCTGAAACGACTCAACGTGAAGCTGCAACTTTCATTTCCGGCCGCGAGACACTTTCTATCTGCGCCTCAAGTCAAAACAACATCCTACACGCATCTCTCTGCAGGTGCACCACGAGCGTTTTAAAGTCTCCTACAAGTGAGCAAGTCTCTCCTGATGAATATTCCCGCTCATCACTTTCTCTTCTGTCTCTTCTCTCCTGCAGAAACACGCGGATGGATCTAATTCCTCCTGATGTGTCGCGATCAGCGGTTATTAAAGCGACTGAATGCGGTTTAGCGGAGCACTACCTCTCTCCCCGTCTGTGGCTGCGCGTCCCCGGCTGCTTCTGCTTCTGCTCCCCGGTCAATTAGAGAGAGAGGCTTGGCAGACCCCTCCCACAGACTGAGCTCCGGCAGACCGCCTTATAATGCTTATTACCGCACCAGCCTCAGTGTTCCCCGGCGCAGCGCACTAATCAGATGAGAGGCGGCGGGCGGCTCCACTCTTTATAAACGGCTTATAAACAGTAACTACAGTGGCTCCATTAATGAGGATTTATGGAATAGATATGAACCTTTGATGAGAGCAACTTCTGGGTTGCCAGGTAGTTAGTCATAAACCAATTTATTAGTGACATTTAACTGAGATTAGATGAAAAGTTAAGTCACCAAAGTGATCAAAATTCATCCTGAGGGGAACATGAACATCTGAACCGAATCTTATGGAAATTCATTCAAAAGTTGTTGAGATATTTCATTCAGAATCGCTAATGTTAGCCTCACTGTGGTGCTAGAAAAGACAGGGGTTCATCCTCTGGGGAGTAAGAATGAAGATGATCAGATATTTTGCTGGGTAAGTTAAACCTGAATTTTGGGTTGCCAGGTTGTGAGGTATCTATTTATAGTCATCATAGTCATCGTGACATTAAAATTAAATTAGATAAGTCACCAAAGTGGTTAAAATTCATCCTGAGGGGAACATGAATATCTGAACCAAAAATCTGGGGAGCATGAATGAAGATGATCAAATAAGTAAAAGCTTTGACCTGCTTAGGTCACAAGATGAGAATAAAGGTTCACTACAGTCATTAGGATTCATCCTCTGAGGACCATGATTGCCTGCAACAGCATTTTAATGCGATCCATCCAATAGTTGTTGAGACGTTTTGCTCGGTTTTTGCTACAGTTTTTCAGGTAGCCACACCGCTAACAGCGCTAATGAGCCTAATAAGGACTTTTACAATAAGATTTGTGTCGAGACGGCAGAAGGTCAAAGGTCAGTGGTTCATCAGCAGGGTCTGGTCAACGGGTCATGAACTAAAGCAATTAAAAGACAGAGGAAGTGTTCTGCATGAGAGAGATTTGACCCAACCTGGCAACCAAAGGCTGTTCTCAGTAATGAGTCTTAAGGTTTTTAAAGCATCAGAAATGATTAATTAAGTCGTTAGTTAGAACCTTTAAACCCACCTTCGTTAAAAAGTGGCTCCTTAATGACTCAATGTGTTTGTCCTGAAAAAACAGGAAATTAGCTCATTTGTGTGAGACAGCCCGAGGGGACAGGACAGCAATGTGATTTATGTTTTATTGATGCTGAAGTGAAGGTGTGAGGTCAGAGGTCAGAGGTCAGAGCAGGAGCCCTGCAGCTGGGGCAACAAGTCCTTCAAACAAAATCAGCTGCTGGCTCCGTTAATACAGACATGAGAGTAAGAAAACAGTAGTCACCCCTCATCATCTAAACCCTCCGACTCGCCCAGAAGAAGAAGGACGGATGACATGACCTCATGTGCTCAACAGCACGTCAGCAGGACAGGAAGTCATTGTCCTGTACAGCTGAAAAAGCAGCCTCATTAATCACGGGAGCGTCCCTCCATCTGGGAGCATATCTAACATGGTTAACTTTATTATATGCATTCAAACAATATTACTGTGACAAAGAGACGTACACAAGAAGGAGGAGGAGGGATTCTCCTCCTTTGAATTGAGCATTCAGCAAATCATTTTCCTGACTGGCCCATTTCCAGAGGAGCTCCACGCAGCCAGGAAGAAAGTCGCTTCGCTGTTCAATCAAAAGCATGTCAAATCCCATACACTCACTGCTGACTGAGGAGCCCATATCTCCAAACTGGCAGCTTATCAGGAACTAACAAAAACCTCATCGTCACCGCAAGAACGGATCTAATTCACATATGCTCTGAAAACTATAGGAGGAGGATTTTATCCCTGAGAGTGAAAATAAAAGATGGAAAAAAAGCATCAGAAGCTTTTAAAAATGACGCCACATTATGCAGGAAATGGGATCTTCCACTTGCTGAGCTCCTCGTAGAAATCCTCCTGGTCACAATGAAATGTCTCATGTCTCTGCAGAGCACTGGAGCATATGTAGGCTATAGGTAGCCAAAGGTCACGATTACAAAATGCTTCAGCGCTCCACCGTTCAAGCTCAATTGTACTGTTTACTGAGACCGACCGCCGCTGCTTGTGAGTACAGTCGATACTGAACGCTCGTTCGCTGTGCATCTGGTGGTTCAGACCTTTTCAGAGGGAGAGGAGAGAAAAGACGACACACTTTCAACATGATGCAGAAAACATTTCACATCTGTAAGACACAGCAGGCAGATGTTACTGTCCACAGATTTGTAGTTGTGAAATTTTAAAACTTATTATCTACATAGATTTTTAACAATTTAACCAGAACTGTGAATGTTTAAAGTGTGTGTTCAATAAAGACACAAAGGATTATAATGATTAGTGTGATATCAGCTTTAAGCACATTGTGTTTGTCTCAAGCTGCAACCAGTGAAGAACCAGAAGCTGCAGTTCCTCTAACGACCACTAGAGTCTGGCTCCAACAGTGAGTCAGTCCCCATAGACTCCCATGTTAAAATGTCCAACTTTACAGCAGAAATAAACATGTTTACAGCCTGGTACAAAAACTGTTTTGGTCTCTAGAGCTGATTTCCTCCTCCTGTTTATATAACTCACCTGTTTACATTTTATTAAGGACTACAGTTATGGAGGATTGAGGGCGTGGCCTCTTTGAGTGACAGGTTGGTGAGCATTTGCTTGACACAAACTGGCTCCTCACATGCCCCTCCTCTTTGACCTGTTTTGGATTAGCTGGATGTTAGGGGGCGGAGTCAGAGGCTGCCAAGATGGCAACAGTGGAGCAGCTCACTCTGAGCTTCAGAAACTTGTGGGTGATGTCACAGAGGCAACGTCCATCTTTATTCGTGACTTTAAGCAGCAATAGTTGAAGTGACGGCTACGAGGAGCTTGTCTGAATCTGTTAGTTCAGCACCACGGACAGCGTCACGGTCTCATCAGCACACAGCACAGTGACGGTGTGGGCAGGAGAGGGAGGGTTTGTAAATCAGTCAAATCAGCAGGTATCTTTAACAAATACACTGTAGACTGTGTACTTAGAGTGTCCTCAGCTGTCCACATACTTTTGGCCCAGTGAGACGTGTCTTGACATAACGTTGTTGTATAGATGAGCAGAGAAAGTGCACAGAGCAGCAGGCTGTCATTATCTGCTTGTCTTATACAGTAACCAACATGTACAGTTCTTTCCCTCCTCTCCACTTGTGAATCTCATACAACAGTTATGATGGAGGGTGTTCGACCGGCAGCTCTACGCATGCATGGCCTCTGTCCAGGCAATTAAACAGACATGGTCGTACTGATGTGGGCGATAACCAAGGCTGGATTCACGACTGCAGGCGATACTTGACTGGTGCAGTCAGAGCTTCTCTCTCTCTGCTGTGCTGTACAGCCCACTGTCTATTCATTGTTTACTGTATTTAATGATATTTATCTTTCAGTGTGTTTCAGTATCATCTCTCTACAATGTGTGCAGCAGTTTGAAACACTGAGAGTAAACCTACTTAATACAGCTCTGACTGAGGCTTAAATAAACTGTTAATAAATACAATCACATGCTTTGTATTTGTGTATTTGTGCAGCAAAAATGTCAAAATATAGTTTCTGTCATTTTCCATTTTGAGAAGATGATCCATACTTTCAGATAATATAAGTAAACACATATTAAAAAATATAATCAATGTATTTATTGATCAAATGATTCATTAAAAAAACTGTCAGAAGATAATCATGAGCTACAATCTAATATTTGAGTGTAACAGAAAAGATAAAAGCATTCAGTTAGTAAGAGACACAGGGTTGGGGTGGGGGGGGTAAATAAACCTGAAACCTTAGCATTAGCACAACCACTAACACTTTGTCAGCCGCTGCCAGTTACAAGCTAACAAACAACATAAAAAAATATATGATGCTAACTACGTTAACCATTCAAAAAGATACTAACTATACTAACTGTTCTAAAAAGATGCTAACAATGCTAACTGTTCTGAAGAGATGCTAACTATGCTAACTGTTCTAAAAAGATGCTAACTATGCTAACTGTCCTGAAGAGATGCTAACTATGCTAATCATTCTAAAAAGATGCTAACTTGCTAACTGTTCTCAAGAGATGCTAACTAGCTTATTTCTGAAAAGATGCTAACTATGCTAACCGCTCTGACCCGTCTGCTAGTCTCTGGTTCAGGTCTCAGACTCCTCCTCTGAGTCTGGGTCTGACTGAGGCTCAAACATGTGGCTGAGTCTCTCTGATGTTTCCTCCTCTCACCATCTTCATACTGTCTGCTCTCTCACCTGTCCACCTGGAGCAACAGGTGGTGGGCGGGGCTCAAGGTCTGATCCAGGTTTATCAACCAGAAAGTAAGAGGAGATGAGCTGTCTATAACTCACACTGGTCCTCACAAAGTACACTCACACACACACACACACACACACACACACACACACACACAGGGGCCTGAGGGAGCCGCTGGCATCAGTCCCATGTTAAATGTGGCACACAACATGGTCCACATGGCAGACTGCAGTCAGAGGGCTGATTACTAATGTGTTTATTATAGTTTATATAATAATAAACTTAATATAAAGTTTGTTGTGT